TGGATTAAATGCTCCAACCAAAAGACACAGGCTTGCTGAATGGATACAAAAAGAAGGCCCATATAAATGCTCTCTACAAGAGACCCACTTCAGGCCTAGGGACACATACAGACTGAAAGTTAGGGGATGGAAAACGATATTCCATGCAAATGGAAAAAGAAAGCTAGAGTAGCAATACTAATTATCAGATAAAATAGACTTTAAAATAAAGAATGTTACAAGTGACAAGGAAAGACACTACATAATGATCAAAGGATCAATCCAAGAAGAAGATATAACAATTATAAATATATATGAACCCAACATAGGAGCACCTCAATACATAAGGCAAATGCCAACAGCTATAAAAGATGAAATTGACAGTAACACAATAATATTGCGGGACTTTAACACCCCACTTACACCAATGGGCAGATCATCCAGACAGAAATTAATAAGGAAACACAAGCTTTAAATGACACAATAGACCAGATAGATTTAATTGATATTTATAGGACATTCCATCTGAAAACAGCAGATTAACTTTCTTCTCAAGTGACTACAGCACATTTTCCAGGACAGATCACACGTTGGGTCACAAATCAAGCCCCGGTAAATTTAAGAAAATTGAAATCATAACAAGCATCTTTTCTGACCACAACGCTATGAGATTAGAAATAAATTACAGAGAAAAAAACGTAAAAAACACAAACACATGGAGGCTAAACAATATGTTACTAAATAACCAAGAGATCACTGAAGAAATCAAAGAGGAAATCAAAAATTACCCAGAGACAAATGACAATGAAAACACGACAATCCAAAACCTATGGGATGCAGCAAAAGCAGTTCTAAGAGGGAAATTCATAGCAATACAATCCTACCTCAAGAAACAAGAAAAATCTCAAACAAACAATATAACCTTACAACTGAAGGAACTAGAGAAAGAAGAACAAACAAAACCCAAAGTTAGTAGAAGGAAAGAAACCATAAAGATCAGAGCAGAAATAAATGAAATAGAAACAAACAAAACAACAGCAAAGATCAATAAAACTAAAAGCTGGTTCTTTGAGAAGATAAACAAAATTGATAAACCTTTAGCCAGACTCATCAAGAGGGAGAGGACTCAAATCAATAAAATTAGAAAAGAAAAAGGAGAAGTTACAACAGACACTGCAGAAATACAAAGCATCCTAAGAGACTACTACAAGCAACTCTATGCCAATAAAATGGACAACCTGGAAGAAATGGACAAATTCTTAGAAAGGTATAACCTTCCAAGACTGAACCAGGAAGAAATAGAAAATATGAACAGACCAATCACAAGCAATGAAATTGAAACTGTGAATAAAAATCTTCCAACAAAGAAAAGTCCAGGACCAGATGGCTTCACAGGTGAATTCTATCAAACATTTAGAGACGAGCTAACACCCATCCTCTCAAACTCTTCCAAAAAATGGCAGAGGAAGGAACACTCCCAAACTCATTCTGTGAGGCCACCATCACACTGATACCAAAACCAGACAAAGATACTACAAAAAAAGAAAATTACAGACCAATATCACTGAAGAATATAGATGCAAAAATCCTCAACAAAATACTAGCAGACAGAATCCAACAACACATTAAAAAGATCATACACCATGATCAAGTGGGATTTTATCCCAGGGATGCAAGGATTCTTCAATATATGCCAATCAATCAATGTGATACACCATATTAACAAATTGAAGAAGAAAAACCATATGATCATCTCAATGGATGCAGAAAAAGCTTTTGACAAAATTCAACACCCATATTTATGATAAAAACTCTCAAGCAAGTGGGCATAGAGAGTACCCACCTCAACATAATAAAGGCCATATAAGACAAACCCACAGCAAACATCATTCTCAATCGTAAAAAACTGAAAGCATTTCCTCTAAGATCAGGAACAAGACAAGGATGTCCACTCTCCACTATTATTCAAAATAGTTTTGGAAGTCCTAGCCACGGCAACCAGAGAAGAAAAAGAAATAAAAGAATACAAATTAGAAAAGAAAAACTGTCACTGTTTGCAGATGACATACTATACATAGATAATCCTAAAGATACCACCAGAAAACTACTAGAGATAATCGATGAACTTGGTAAAGCTGCAGGATACAAACTTAATACACAGAAATGTCTTGCGTTCCTATACGCTAATGACAAAAAAATCTGAAACAGAAATTAAGGAGACAATCCCATTTACCACTGCAACAAAAAGAATAAAATACCTAGGAATAAACCTTCCTAAGGAGACAAAAGACCTGTATGCAGAAAACTATAAGACACTAATGAAAGAAATTAAAGATGATACAAACAGAGAGATATACCATGTTCTTGGATTGGAAGAATCAACATTGTGAAAATGACTATACTACCCAAAGCAATCTACAGATTCAATACAATCTCTATCAAGCTACCAATGGCATTTTTCCACAGAACTAGAACAAACAATTTCACAATGTGTATGGAAACACAAAAGACCCCGAATAGCCAAAGCAATCTTGAGAAAGAAAAACGGAGATGGAGAATTCAGGCTCCCTGACTTCAGACTGTACTACAAAGCTACAGTAATCAAGACACTATGGTACTGGCAGAAAAACGGAAATATAGATCAATGGAACAGGACAGAAAGCCCAGAGATAAAGCCACGCACATGTGGTCACCTTATCTTTGACAAAGGAGGCAAGAATATACAATGGAGAAAAGACAGCCTCTTCAATAAGTGGTGCTGGGAAAACTGGACAGCTACATATAAAAGAATGAAATTAGAATGCTCCCTAACACCATACACAAAAATAAACTCAAAATGGATTAAAGACCTAAATGTAAGGCCAGACACTATAAAACTCTTAGAGGAAAACGCAGGCAGAACACTCTATCACATAAATCACAGAAGATCCTTTTTGACGCACCTCCTAGAGAAATGGAAATAAAAACAAAAATAAACAAATGGGACCTAATGAAACTTAAGAGCTTTTGCATAGCAAAGGAAACCATAAACAAGAAGAAAAGACAACCCTCAGAATGGGAGAAAATATTTGCAAACGAAGCAGCTGACAGAGAATTACTCTCCAAAATATACAAGCAGCTCATGCAGCTCAATATCCAAAACACAAACAACCCAATGAAAAAATGGGTGTAAGACCTAAATAGACATTTCTCCAAAGAAGATATACAGATTGCCAACAAACACATGAAAGGATGCTCAACATCACTAATTATTAGAGAAATGCAAATCAAAACCACAATGAGGTATCAATTCACACCAGTCAGAACGGCCATCATCAAAAAATCTATGAACAGTAAATGCTGGAGAGGGTGTGGAGAAAAGGGAACCCTCTTGCACTGTGGGTGGGAATGTAAGTTGATACAGCCACTATGGAGAACACTATGGAGGTTTCTTAAAAACCTAAAAATAGAACTACCATATGACCCAGCAATCCCACTACTGGGCGTACACGTTGAGAAACGTAATTCAAAAAGAGTCATGTACCACAATGTTCACTGTAGCACTATTTACAATAGCCAGGACATGGAAGCAACCTAAGTGTCCATCAGCAGATGAATGGATAAAGAAGATGTGGCACATATATACAACGGTATACTACTCAGCCATAAAAAGAAATGAAATTGCGTTATTTGTAGTGAGGTGGATGGATCTAGAGTCTGTCATACAGAGTGAAGTAAGTCAGAAAGAGCTACAACTACTGAGCCCGGGTGCCACAGCTACTGAAGCCCGCACTCCTAGAGCCCGTGCTCCGCAACGAGAGAAGCCACCGCAATGAGAAGCCCACGCACCGCAACGAAGAGTAGCCCCTCCTCGCCTCAACTAGGGAAAGCCCGCGTTCAGCAACAAAGACCCAACGCAGCCAAAAATAAATAAAAGACCTTTTTAAAATAAATTTATTTTATTCTATTTTATTTATTTGGCTGCTGTGGGTCTTCGTTGCTGAATGCGGGCTTTCTCTTGTTGCGGCGAGGAGGGGCTACTCTTCGTTGCGGTGCGTGGGCTTCTCATTGCGGTGGCTTCTCTCGTTGCGGAGCACGGGCTCTAGGAGTGCGGGCTTCAGTAGCTGTGGCACCCGGGCTCAGTAGTTGTAGCTCGCAGGCTCTAGAGTGCAGGCTCAGTAGTTGGGGCGCATGAGCTTAGCTGCTCCGCGGCATGTGGGATCTTCCCGGACCAGGGCTTGAACCCGTGTCCGCTGCATTGGCAAGTGGATTTTTAACCACTGCACCACCAGGGAAGTCCCAAAATTAAACCTTAAAAAAAAAGAAAAAAAAAAAAAAAAGCAGTTGTTGGTTACCAAGGATTTCCTTTAAAAAACAAAAAGAAGGGCTTCCCTGGTGGCACAGTGGTTGAGAGTCCGCCTGCCGATGCAGGGGACACGGATTCGTGCCCGGTCCGGGAAGATCCCACATGCCGCGGAGCGGCTGGGCCCGTGAGCCATGGCTGCTGAGCCTGCGCGTCCAGAGCGTGTGCTCCACAACGGGAGAGGCCAGAGCGGTGAGAGGCCCGCGTACCGCAAAAAAAAAAAAAAAAAAGTACAACTAGAGAGAAGCCCGCACGCCACAACGAAAGGTCCTACATGCCTGAACGAAGATCCCGTGTGCTGCAACTAAGACCCAATGCAGCCAAATAAATGAATACATAAATAAACATTAGAAACAAACAAACAAAAAAGCATCATATGGTAAAACACTTTACTATGGGTAAAGTCCAACATAGGAGAATTAATAACTTTTTGGTCAGAGCTTCAAGTTTTAAATTATTCATAAAGGGCCTTTCTCAGCTCATTTGAAAACAACCAGTAGGTTTCCTCAAAATTACATAATCCAAACACTTCATTCACTGGCATCAGTAAATGAATCAAAAGATTTCAGATCAACCATTCTTTCAGAGTACACTGCCATGGCTTAATGTACTGAGTATATGAACAGCCTGCCTCCTTCTCCCGATCACAAGCATCTCCGTCCGCCTTATTCTGTCTTACCTCTACCACGAGCTCTCTTGCCACGGTCTGAAGGCTTGTCCCCTTGATTGCAATCAATTCCATTCTCTTCACCTCTAACTAAGGAAAAAAAGAGCACCCCTTATACATAATCAAACTAACAGCTATTACAGCTATTAAAGACAAGGACAAAAAGACTCCCTCCACCCCTCAACAAAAAAAGGCTTTTTAAAAAAAGGTTAAAATTCAACCAAAGGGTTTGGAAAACAAGAAAAACCAAACCAGCGTGGCTCAAAAAACTGAATGACAGCACAACTTGCTTAATTCATAGGTGAAAATTCAAAAAGAAATTAAAATGACGTACCACCTTTATTTTCTGTTTTGACGTGCCCTCCTGTAAAGTAAGTTTACTTCCAAAAAAAAAATACCTTTGTTATGTAACCATACCTGCTCATTGGTTAAGTTCAAAGCCTGGAAAGGCATAGATTAGCAAACTGCAATACCAAGGAAACACTGAATTCTTGGGGAAATCATTGTTAGAGAGAGGTTTTTCCAGGTTACTGTCCAGAAGATGCCAACACAGTCTTTTCTTCTCCTTATTTCTATATTGGCATTAATGACTCTGTATAATACAGAAATTTTATGAACAATATTGACACAGCTTGCTCCCCTCATCTCTTTTATGGCTTAAGTATGTGAGTTGTCAGTGAGGCCTTCCTTGGTCACTATCTTTAAATTTGTCAAACCCGTGCCTATAATTCCCATCTCTCTGCCTTTGTTTTTCCCCAGAGCATAATTTTCTACATAATGCCATTAAAATATTACAATATCAATATGAAATGTTACTTCTCTTTTTTATTGTTACATCTCACTCTACCTCCCTTAAAAGATGTTTTAGAAGGGCAAAGATTTCTGTTTACTTCATTGCTGTATGACTTGAAGACTATCCACTACACTGCAGATACTCAATAAACATCTGTGGTATAAATAAACTAGCAAAAGTCTATAAAGGAACATGTTAAATATTTATCATAATTTAGCCACTTTGGTACGTCTGCATAGGAGGTAGTGTTGTTTTGGGTGAATGATGCCAAAACCTGAGTCAAATGGAGAGAACTGAGAAAAACCTTTCCTATTCAACAACTTTCATCTTAATCTAAACCTTGCATGTATCATGAGTATCCGTAAGTGGGGAAGAATAAACAGCTTTAGCTACCAGCCAACAAAAAAACCTTCTTTAAAATTAGACGATGCACTTGATTCATAACAGAAGGCGGTCTTAAGACACAACACAAATACCTACAGCCCAGGTCAGTGCTAATATGAAATTGTATCAGTTAGGGTTCTAATAAACTACTCAGTTGTAGCTCATTACTAACTGTTAACTATACTAACAAATATTGCACTGAGGAAGTGGATCTATAGGCATTCATTGGATCATTCTGTCAGCTTTTCAACATGCATGAAAATTTTCATAAAACCAAAGGTGAGGAGAAAGGTCTGTACTTACACTCTCTCCCACGATTGCCACCTCTTACTTTCCGGTTGTTGCTTCCGCGTCCACGGCTCACTTCTCTCTCACTTCTCTTCTCTCTATTCTCTTTGTTTTCTGAACTTTCTTTTCCAAAATTCTTCTTCTTCCCTCCTACAGTCTCCCATGAAGTCTATCGAAAATAAGAGCATTTATTCAGAGTTATCACTCAAAGTGTGGACAATCATCAAGAGTATGTGCATTTATCTTTCAGACCTAATTACGCATGCCTTACAGCTTGCATGCCTACTATTTTAATTCTTCTCCATAAACGTACTGTACTCTCTGATGATAACGACAGCAAATCTCGTCAGGTTCCTGTTGCTACAGAGAGCACAAAAGATTACAGCAACTAGTTGAATTGACAACATACTATATGTTGTCCCACCACAGAGCCTTTTCCTATGCTGATAAGCATAAAGTAAATGTTATTTCCCCAAGCTCCCACTCTATGCCATCCTCACCTACCTCAGTAGTAGCCATGGCTACTGCAGACAACAACAAGGTAAGAAGGCAAACAGGATGAAAGAAAAGATGGACCATGGAATAATCCTAAACAAACCAGGGTTTCAAAGGACTTCCCCTCTGCCTCTCTATTTTCCCTATAGCCTTCTCATCTCCAAACAGACAAATGCCTTTTGTGTCTGTATTCAGGCCCTAATTTGCTAGTTTCTCACCTTTTAAGAAAACAACATGCCAGATCTAGCCCCAACTGTGTGACTTCTAGGTTCAAGAGGTAACCAAAGGGCTTCCCTGGTGGCACAGTGGTTAAGAATCTGCCTGCCAATGCAGGAGACACGTGTTCGAGCCCTTGTCCTGGAAGATCCCACATGCCACGAAGCAACTAAGCCCGTGTGCCACAACTACTGAGACTGTACTCTAGAGTCAGTAAGCCACAACTACTGAGCCTGCGTGCCACAACTACTGAAGTCCATGCTCCTAGAGCCCATGCTCTGCGATGAGAAGCCACCGCAATGAGAAGCCCGTGCACCACAACGAAGAGTAGACCCTGCTCGCTGCTACTAGAGAAGAGTCCATGCACAGCAACAAAGACCCAATGCAGCCAAAAATAAATAAGTAAATAAATTTTATTATTTTTTTAAAAAAAAAGAGGTAACCAAAGAGATCTTTATGTAACTTTCAGCCTAGAACCACCTCCTTTAGGTTCAGTCCCAAATGAGGAGAGGAAGTTGAAAGTCTTTATTGAGATAGAACTGGCTGATCATTTAAAACTTAAAAGATTCACCCAGCCACCAAAGAAAAGGAGTGATGAATCTGTGGGAGCTAAAGGAAAGGCAACAGGAAAACAGTATTCAAGCCTATCTCTACCGTATAAAGGAAAATATGTCCTCCAATTAATGATTTGGAAATATTTCATTTATTCACAGTGATTTTTTTTTTTAATGAGAAAGCAGTTAAGCCCTTCAGTTCATTTTAAAAATAAGCGAGAACTATTCTACACTGCATCCATTAGCAATGAGGTGAACACCCCCCATAGTTTATAAAACCCAGCAAATACATGCCCAAGTGTCAGCAAACAAAAACTCTTCAAAATTTTATTTCCTCACTTAACATGATATATTTTCCCAACAAACTCACATATTTGGTAGTTCATCATGTTGGACCAGTGTAATCTTGCATAGAATTTTACACACAAATACTGCTATACTCAAATAACGAAATATTTTCCCAATTATCATTAATTTTTATAATTACAAATTTTATTCTGCTTGTTTCCTATTAAATAAAAATATACTCATTTCAGTTTTGAGCTTGTCACAGTAGCTCATTTTAATACAGCCTGTGCCTAAAAAAGCCTACCCCTAAAAACAAGAACTTGATTAAACCTAAACAATGATAAGGAAGGCACTTTTTGATGTGTTCATCTTTATACCCCACTTAGGTGAAACATTATTTGTTTTAATCTGCTCTGAACTGGTTTCCTCAATGAAAAAATACAAATGAAATACTGTGTAATTTCCATGTAGAAATCAAAAGATTAGGGCTGACACCTGCCTCTGGTGTGGCTTTAGCTGCATCCTTCCTAAAATAAAAGGGAGGAGCTTTAGTGTGCATGTGCATTCCTCAAACTTGATTAAGCTTAAAAAATTTTTTTTAATTTTATATATCTGTCAGATTGTCATGAAAATGTGTCTGTAGAATATTCACACATAAGCAAATAGAGATACCAGCAAATCCTGGTTTTCTGTTAGTCTAGAGATATAAGGAGTGGTAAAAGGTGACAATTGAGATGAAGAAACATGAGCTGTGGAGCCAAGAGAAGTTTTTCAGGTGGTGAAAATGTCCACAGGCCCAGATAATTTTGGCAACTGTGTAAGGCTGGAGTAGATGACCAAGTTCTTTTCAAGTCTTCAGATTCTACAACTTCATGAAGAAAACATACACAACAAAAACAGTCATTTCAGGTTAGTGTTCTTTCTGGACTTAAAACATATATGGAATGGCACCCACAATCCCCCTCTACCACCACCCCCGAATAAGGTGAAGTTGAAAATGCAATATGGAACTGGAGAGAAATCTTAGCATTGCAAATCAATTAATAATACTTACCGTGTCTGAATTCCCTTCCAGCAATATATTGATAGCTTTGTTGACATCTCCATTACAGTCATGCAGAGCCACTATGCATTCATCCTGATTTTTTCCTGTCACTTCCATAAGCTGTTGGAATTATAAGACAATGATTAGGGAAACAGAAGAATGGCATTTGATATTAATCCTAAGATTCTACTATATAAAGACAGAGATTATTCCACATGAAGATGGCCTTTTCAAGACTCTGAGATTACAATCCAAGATCAGGTTTACCTGTTTTGGGGGGCTACTCCATGTCTTTCGACCAATACTGGTAAAGTCAAGCTATAAATCAACCCTCCTCCAAGCTGACAAAGTATCAATTCTTAATCGGCAGCACATACATACATACCAACATTCTCAGAATACTCAGGATGAGCTATGTGACTGCTCAAACTAGTTTAATGGCCTGGGACTCCCATATTTCTGAGCTACTCAAATATTAAGTGGAACTATATGTTTCCCAAAGACCAAGCATGAGTATGTGGCCACAATTAGCCGAACATCCAGTCCAACTGTTTGCAATGTCCAACAGTCCAGTTGACTCCATCAATGTTCCGTACATGGGCTATCACTGCTTGGATTAGAACACTGCACATATAAAATAATTTTTAACACCCTAAAGTCTCACAATTAGAATTTGGCAAAGCAATCTACAGATTCAATGAAATCCCTATCAAATTACCAACGGCATTTTTTACAGAACTAGAACAAAAAATCTTAAAATTTGTATGGAGACACAAAAGACCCTGAACAGCCGAAGCAACCTTGAGAAAGAAAAACAGAGATAGAGGAATCAGGCTCCCTGACTTCAGACTATAGTACAAAGCTACAGTAATCAAGACAGTATGGTAATGGCACAAAAACAGAAATATAGATCAATGGAACAGGATAGAAAGCCCAGAGATAAACCCACGCACATATGGTCATCTTATCTTTGACAAAGGAGGCAAGCACATACAATGGAGAAAAGGTAGCCTCTTCAGTAAGTGCTGCTGGGAAAATTGGACAGCTACATGTAAAAGAATGAAATTAGAACACTTCCTAACATCATACACAAAAATAAACTCAAAATGGATTAAAGTCCTAAATGTAAGACTGGACACTATAAAACCCTTAGAGGAAAACATAGGCAGAACACTCTTTGACATAAATCACAGCAAGATCTTTTTTGACCCACCTCCTAGAGTAATGGAAATAAAAACAAAAATAAACAATGGGACCTAATGAAACTTAAAAGATTTTGCACAGCAAAGGAAACCATAAACAAGACGAAAAGACAACCCTCAGAATGGGAGAAAATATTTGCAAATGAATCAACGGACAAAGGATTAATCTCCAAAATATATAAACAGCTCATGCAGCTCAATATTAAAAAAACAAACAACCCAATCCAAAAATGGGCAGAAGACCTAAATAGACATTTCTCCAAAGAAGACATACAGATGGCCAACAAATACGTGAAAAGCTGCTCAACATCACTAATTATTGGAGAAATGCAAGTCAAAACTACAATGAGGTATGACCTCAAACCAGTTAGAATGGGCATCATCAGAAAATCTACAAACAACAAATGCTGGAGAGGGTGTGGAGAAAAGGGAACCCTCTTGCACTGTTGGTGGGAATGTAAATTGATACAGCCACTATGGAGAACAGTATGGAGGTTCCTTAAAGAACTAAAAATAGAATTACCATATGACCCAGCAATCCCACTACTGGCCACATACCCAGAGAAAACCATAATTCAAAGAGACATATGCACCCCAATGTTCACTGCAGCACTATTTACAAGAGCCAGCTCATGGAAGCAACCTAAATGCTCATCGACAGACAAATGGATAAAAAAGATGTGGTACATATATACAATGGAATGTTACTCAGCCATAAAGAGGAACGAAATTGGGTCATTTGCAGAGACATGGATGGACCTAGAGACTGTCATACAGAGTGAAGTAAGTCAGAAAGAGAAAAACAAATATCGTATATTAACGCATATATGTGGAACCTAGAAAAATGGTACAGATGAACTGGTTTGCAAGGCAGAAATAGTGACACAGATGTAGAGAACAAACGTATGGACACCAAAGGGGGAAAGCGGGGCTAATAGTGGTGGGATGAACTGGGAGATTGGGATTGACATATATACACTAATATGTATAAAACAGGTAACTAATAAGAACCTGCTGTATAAATAAATAAATAAGAAAAAAATTAGAATTTGGCAGCTATCACAAAACTCACTCCTGGACATACTATTTTCTCAAGTAGCCTCAACAGGGTGCTATGTTTGAAATCAAAGAAATCTCCTTGGTGCATTCCCTGTAACAAGGGATAATTAAGCTACTTAATATTTTCAACACAAGGAACAATCACAGATTAGGCAAAATATAGGTTTCTCAGTTATCAGTGAACAAATGTATGATTTAAATATCTGCTGTGTTTTAAGTATCTTTAACTATTTTAGTGTGTATCACCTGCAGTTCAAAACAGTTTGACCCCCAACATCTGAAGCAATTGCTCTGTGATCACAAAACAATTAGCCTTTCGGGAAGCCAGGTCTCCTGGTCTCATAAATACAGCTCTTTACACCACATCGTTCCATCTGATTTCCTCCCTGTGTTACCCAGCAAGGTTCTATACATTCTACAGCTTTCCCATGCTTCAGTCTTTGGATTTCTACTAATAAGGTCAGATTTTTACCAACGATCTATAGTAGGTCATTACCCATCACATGCAGTTGTTAAGATGCACAGCAGGGACTTCCCTGGTGGCGCAGTGGTTAAAAATCCACCTGCCAATGCAGGGGACACAGGTTCGAGCCCTGGTCCTGGAAGATCCCACATGCCATGGAACAACTAAGCCCACAAGCCACAACTACTGAGCCTGCATGCCACAACTACTGAAGCTCGCGCACCTAGAGCCCGTGCTCCGCAAGAAGAGAAGCCACCGCAATGAGAAGACCAGGCACCACAACAAAGGATAGCCCCCAGTCGCTGCAACTAGAGAAAGCCCATGCACAACAACCAAGACCCAATGCAGCCAAATAAATTAATAAATAATATTTATTAAAAAAAAAAAAAGATTTATAGTAACCTTCAAAACTCCCCCAGTGATTGGATTAGTAAGAGAGAGAACCATCGTTAAAACTTAAAGCTCTGGGGCTTCCCTGGTGGTGAAATGGTTGAGAGTCCACCTGCCGATGCAGGGGACGTGGGTTCGTGCCCCGGTCTGGGAAGATCCCACATGCCACGGAGCGGCTGTGCCCGTGAGCCATGGCCGCTGAGCCTGCGCGTCCGGAGCCTGTGCTCCGCAACGGGAGAGGCCACAACAGTGAGAGGCCCGCGTACCACAAAAAAAAAACAACTTAAAGCTCTGAACTCCTCTACCAGTGCTCTTTTTTGTGTATCTGCTATGCTACTCAGATAAAAGGTGATATAATATGTAGAAGTATGTCTCAAACAATTCATAAATCTCATTCCAGCGAATAAGTTCTATGATTTTTAATAAATAATTTTTGTGGCTTTCCAAAAATATCACCATTAAGTCTAATGACAGCACTATAAGTAAGAAGAAAGAGCTTACATACTAAAGGGCTAAAATAAAGAGTTCACCAAGGGACTTTCACTCCAAGGAATTACTGGTAGACCTCTACCAAGGTAAAGGTTATTGCCTGGTTTCTAGAATCTTGAAGGGAAAAGAAGTCTTATCAGGAAAGAAGAATGTGAAATTAAAATAATATTATATCAGTGAAGGTCTAAGTGAAGACATCACCCTAAAATTTAATTTTATAACTTTTCCAATCTATGTTTGGGACCACCACAATATGTGAAAAGGCAAATCAGCTCTTCTGTAACACTGAACAAAATTTTCTGAGAACCTGCCGTATACTAAATATACTTTCTATGCACAGGTATATACAATGCCATTGTACTTTCACAAATGCTCATTGTTCACATGTAACACCAGTAACTCAGAAAGGTTCTACTGCCAAAACTCCTTCACTCTAGCCACCAATACAGGTATTTTGATTTTGAATCACAAGTTCAAAATCCAATTATTTACAACTAAGCAAGAAGCATAGTTTAAAATAAGAATCTCTAGTGAAATTATCTTTTTAAGCACAGTAAGACTAGATTACAAAAATGACAGTATCCTATGCCAGAAACATACCTGTTTAACTTTAGCTTCAAACTCTGAATCATTTTTATCAAAGATCACTTGAGCAAGACGCATCTGTTCAGCTGTTGCCTGGAAAAGCACATACAACTATTCAAGACTGGAGCACCAAAAATACAAGTTAGATGCCAAAATCTGGTGTAAACAGATAAAAACTCAATCACTGTGGTAACAGAAATACTGATTAACTAAAAAAAAGGACTCTGAATTTAGACCTCTTAAATGTATACAGTGTATTCCCAAAAGGTAAATAAGCATCAAATTAAATAGCATAAAGGTCCCAGTCCTTTGACCAAAGGACCTGAAGTCCTGTTCATCTTCATTAGCCTTGTGACTCATTTGAATTTTCTTTCCCCTGGGCAGATGAAGTTACAGCGTAACAGAAAGTGGAAGAACAGGAAGCAGTGGAAACAACCGCCAGGATACAGGCTTAGACACAACCTTGCTGTTGAAAAGCAAAAAAGCTCTGCTATCAACTCAAAAAAGGTCAGTTCGGAAGGGAAAAGGCTGTATTTATCTAAATAAAAATTATTTTTAAAGTTACATTTTTATTTTTAACCACAATTTTAAAATGGTTTTAATTTAACAGAATTTTAAAGGAAGCAACTTTCAAACGCTTAGTCAACTATGTAGAAAACTCTTTTCCAGTTGCTTTTTTCACTCAAAATCCTTCTTAAAAAAAAATTCAAATTACCGAATTTTTGAGGTTTCATTTTGTAGTATTTCTGGCAATTAGAAAGGTATTATTTATTTATTTGTGGCTGCGTTGGGTCTTTGCTGCTGTGCGCGGGCTTTTCTCTAGTTGTGGTGAGCGGGGACTACTCTTGTTGCGGTGTGCGGGCTTCTCATTGCGGTGGCTTCTCTTGTTGCAGAGCACAGGCTCTACGCGTGCGGGCTTCAGTAGTTGTGGCTCGCGGGCTCTAGAGCACAGGCTCAGTAGTTGTGGCGCACAGGCTTAGTTGCTCCGTGGCATGTGGGATCTTCCCGGACCAGGGCTCGAACCCGTGTCCCCTGCATTGGCATGCAGATTCTTAACCACTGCACCACCAGGGAAGCCCAGAAAGATATTTTTTAAATGAGGAAACTTTTGGGAATTCCCTGGCAGTTCGGTGGTTACGACTCCGTGTTTTCACTGCCGAGGGTGTGGGTTCAGTCCCTGGTCAGGGAACTAAGATCCCACAAGCCATGTGGCACAGCCAAGAAAATAATAAAAAATAAGAAATTTGAAAAAGGTAACTCTTGTGAAATCAGTTAATAGTAACATACCAAACATTGCTAGCTAAAATCTTTACTAACTCCCAACATAAATATTTTTAAAGTTAAATCATTTAAATTACTGAATGAGCTTGGGGGGGAGGGGAGACCCACCAAGTGCTAATAATAAACAACTTTTTAAAAATATATTTATTTATTTATTTATGTACGTATGTATGTATGTACGGCTGCACTGGGTCTTCGTTGCTGTGTGCGGGCTTTCTCTAGTTGCACAGAGCAGGGGCTATTCTTTGCAGTGTGCGTGCTTCTCATTGCGGTGGCTTCTCTTGTTGTGGAGCACGAGCTCTAGGCGTGTGGGCTTCAGTAGTTGTGGCACGCAAGCTCAGTAGTCGTGGCTTACGGGCTCTAGAGCGCAGGCTCAGTAGTTGTGGCGCACGGGTTTAGTTGCTCTGCGGCATGTGGGATCTTCCCGGACCAGGGCTGAAACCCGTGTCCCCTGCATTGGCAGGTGGATTCTTAACCACTGTGCCACCAGGGAAGTCCCAACAAACAACTTTTCACCTTTGCTTTTAATACAGATTCATAATAATCTCAATGGGGGTGGAGGGGGAGAGGTTGTTAGTGTTTTTTACAATGTAAAAACGCTTCTCACAAGAGCTTTCCAGTCCATGTTGTTGGTTGATTATACAAGCTCCAGCTAGCTTTGGTCTGTTCCCTCCAATCCAATGGCCAATCCTTTCATCCCAACCTATGCCTGCTGTGACCTCAGTTGCAGCGTTACATTACACCCAGAAAGATGTTTGTACAGTTTCTACACACACGGCAAATTTTACCTCAATTCTAACCAGTATATATAAGGGCCTTCTTTACACACACCCTCAAGTGAGAAGTCCCAATGCAGCAGCCAAAAGGACCAAGGTATGAAATAACTGAACGAGGTAAAAAGGAAAACCAAAGGGGAAGGTGAGTTCTGGAAGACGGCACTTCCACATTATACATTTGAGCTTTGGGTAGTGGCAACCTTTTATGAAAGTAAGCCACTGGGATAAAAAAAGAATATATATATATATATATAAAACTGAATCACTCTGCTGTACAGCAGTAATTAACACAACATTGTAAATCAACTATACTTCAATAAAAATAAAAAATAAAAAAAATTATTTAAAAATAATAAACTAAAAAAAAAAAGAAAGTAAACCAATGTGGCCCTTAGTGCTAAAACGCTGCATGATTAATTTTTGCCCGTTTTTCCTGATAGCAATCACTTCTACTCTGAATTTCAAATCTAGAAATTGTACCTCACACATATTCATTGAGCCCTGCTGCAACCTAAGCAATATGAATGTTCATCACTTACCATTAAATTTCCTTAAATTACAAAATTTTCACAAAGCCCACAAGAAAATAACAGTGACCCATAAAGTAACTATCTAATACCAAAAACTATTTATTTGGTACTTACATATTTTTCTCTTATATCAAAAACAAAATACTAATCACACTACTTTGTAGGAATACATAATCAATTGTAAATACCTATATCATAATGCTTATTAGCTGCATACAAGTCTACTGGATAGGTCTTGCATTTTACTTACTCTGAATTCTTCATTACTACCCAAACACTACAGGGAGCCATAGTTACACCTAATACATCCAGGATAGCTTTCTTAGAATAAATACAAAGATGTGAAACTACTAGGTCAAAGAAGTATATAGAAAAAAGTTAAAAGTAGTTTCATACCATCTGCTCAAAAATGCTCTTCACAAAGGCTGCAAAACTTTATACTCAATTAACAGTATAAAAGAGCCTGCTTCCTCAAACTCCAGTCTAAAAAAAACGCAAATTTAACCAATTAAAAATAAAAAGGATCTCTATTTGGTTTGATTTTTACTTCTTAGATCATTAGAGTAATCTTTTAAAAATACACTTACTGGGACTTCCCTGGTGGCGCAGTGATTAAGAATCCGCCTGCCAATGCAGGGGACATGGGTCCAAGCCCTGGTCCGGGAAGATCCCACATGCCGCGGAGCAACTAAGCCCGTGCGCCACAACTACCAAGCCTGCACTCTAGAGCCCGCAAGCCACAACTACTGAGCCCACATGCCACAGCTACTGAAGCTGGTGCGCCTAGAGCCCATGCTCCCCAACAAGAGAAGCCACTGCGATGAGAAGCCCGCGCACCACAACGAAGAGTAGCCCCTGCTCGCTGCAACTAAAGAAAGCCCGTGCACAGCAACGAAGAACCAACACAGCCAAAAATAAATATATAAATAAATTTTTAAAAAATAAAAATACACTTACTAATGTGGCAATGATAAAAAGACTATAAGAGGGAGTAGTAGAGCTGAAAACATCTTCATTTTGCAACCATCACAGTAAAGCCTATTTCAAACAAGAATCATCAACGAATGCTGATTCTAAAGGGGAAAGCTTGATGAGGAAGAGGTTATTTACACATGGTCTCAAGGTGTCTCCACAAAGATTATTTTTTAGTTGCTGGCAGAAACCTAGTAAACAATAAATTAGGGGAAATGGGAAAACCTAGACTCAGTGATCAAAATTAACATCCTCAGGGAGGGGCAGAGAGACATCATGTGACTCTACATATAGTACTCAGAAATACTCAATGTCAGTTAAACAGCATCCCTGAGATCTATAACATGAATCTAATCAGAAGGAAATATCAAAACACAAATTCAAATTGAACATTTTTTACAGTAATTGGCCTTCTTCAAAATTGCTATTATTTCAGAAGACCAAGAAAGGTTAAGAACAGTTCCAGATTAATGAAGACTAAAAAAGCATGTCAAGCAAAGGGGATGTGATGATGCTATACTGGAAAAAGGAAACGTGCTATAAAGGACATTACTGGAGTAACTGACATTACTGGAATAAATGAAAGTTCCACATTGACAAAACTGGAATATTAACTGTAGTGAAAGAACACTGTAACAATGATACATCTAAGAAATTTGATAGTGTAATTATGTTTGTATAAAGAAACATCTTTGTTCTAACTTTATAGCAAACCTAAAATCCCGTGGACAACAACACAGGATAAAACTAGGTGACAAGGTATCCCTTACAAACCTCAAAATACAAACAGGAAAAGAAAAAACAACAGATACAAGATCTGCATGGTAATAATTGTGGCAGAGGCCAGCACTGGGATGTTTGACCGGCCTAAGAACAGGAAAACCCCAAGTAGCCAAGAGGCATTTACTGGAAAGTAAGGTGGGCCAATTTGAGCACAGCACCTGGCACTATAGGGTTTTGACAACTCCAACAGCAAACTATGTGTGAGGATTGCAGAAAGGTTTAAATAGGCTGGGGTAGTTACCATCATAAACTACTGAAACTAACCAGCTAAGGTTCCCATCAAGAGAAAATACTGGGAGTAAAATCAAAACTGGGCCACATATATAGAAAAATCTAAAAAAGTCCACACTGGGGGAGGAGAACGAAGACAGGAAATCTCAGAAAGCAAGCCAACATAACTATACAGAAAAAGAGGAAACACTATGAAATTAGAAAAGTCACTTTGAACCATGTTGCCATGTAAAAGTCCAAGAAGACTCATTTCACATATAAATGAGCAATAGAAAATTAAAGGTCAAATCCCATACAAAGTTACTATAAGAGAAAAAGAATATAAGCAGGATAATACCCCCCAAAACCAATGACAGTACACCAAAAAAGGAGCCTAGGGAAAAAAGCAAAACTGCTATCTTCTGTTTCAAAATGCACTAAAAGACTGAGCATGAAGAAAACAATAAAGACATAAAGAATAACATTTTATGTCTAAGTTTTTCTAATTCAGAAGTGAAAATGAAGATTAAACTAGAAGGAA